CATGTTCTCGATCAACGAAACTGGCCAACGTTCCAACGCCTCGGGTAGCAACGTGTGATTGGTGTACGCAAATGTTTTCACACAAATTTGGAACGCCTTCTCAAACGTTATACCCTCAACGTCCACGAGCAAACGAATCAGTTCCGGAATACCGATGGACGGGTGTGTATCGTTCAACTGAATCGCCACTTTATCGGGGAATGTGTCGAAGTTGGCACGGATCGTATCACGACAGCCGTACTTGCTCGACTTGAAACGGCGAATGATGTCTTGCAAAGTGGCCGCTACCAAGAAGTACTGTTGTTTCAGACGTAACTCTTTGCCTTCGAAAATGTTATCGTTCGGATACAACACACGAGTGATATTCTCCGATAGATTTCTGTCCATCACCGCTTGAACGTAATCACCGTCGTTGAAGAATTTCAAACGGAAGTGATTCTCGGCTTTTGCAGACCACAACCGTAACGTATTCACCACATTGTTACGAAATCCCGGTACGGGTGTATCGTAGGGCATCGCAAACACCAAATGTGTATTCACCCAACGACTATTGCCCTGTGCATCCTTCTCAACATTACCGTACATGTTCACCGGTAGCATATATTCGGGTCGTGCCTTCTCCCATGGATTCCCGAATCTCAGCCAATCATCCGGCTCTTCCACTTGCCATCCATCACGAATCAACTGCTTGAATATACCGTACTCGTAGCGAAGACCATAGCCGTAGGCGGCAATACCCAATGTGGCCAGAGAGTCCATGAAGCATGCCGCTAAACGGCCAAGTCCACCATTACCCAAGCCTGCGTCTTCTTCGATCTCTTGCAACTCCTCGATATCCAGCCCTAACTGCAATTATTATCACCTGTTATTATCATTCTGATAGCTGTTATTCTAATATCACTGTTTTCTGAAATTATTACTGTTCACTGTAAGCCACTGCCACAATAGTTATCAATGATGTTGTGATTGTTATTTTTATCATTTCGCTTATCAGATACGATCACCATGCCAAGTTCGTAGTGCTATGAGATTTGAGCATTGGTAACTAGGAATTTGCCATTTTCCAAATGTTTTGAGCAGAAATGTCAGAAAACATTTCATTTTGACCTGATATAAAGCCTCATCAATAGCCGCCTGCACACCAATATTCATCATCGTATTCGATAGAGTGCGACCCATATAGAACTCTAGCGAGAGATAATATACACGCTGAAAGAATTTCGTAATTATTATCAATCAGACTGCTGAATATTGCGATGGTATTAGATTTTTTGTTGTTGAATTCCATTCGTGAACAGTTTTTGAATCAACGCTGTATGCGTTTTAACAGTCACTTCATGCATATTGCATTTTTTTCCAGAACCCTTAGTTTTATTTTCCAAAATTGGAAATGAGAATGAATAAGTCAATGATCTTGAAATTAGGAGTGGTTTAATCATCGTCTGGCAATTTCTTAATTCAAATTGTCAACTTCCAAATCACGAATCATTTGTGAGAAGTTATAAAACTTTCAAATTTTGAATCACTGAAAGTAATTCGTTGTGACAACGAGTATCATATCATAATCTTTCGTTGGTTCACAAATAACAGTGCACAAACAAACAAAATTATCGTCAAAATGTTGTCCATACTTTTGGATCCTTTTCATAATAGTATTGTTGTGTGCGAATCCAACGACTCACGAGATGATCTCTCACAGTGTGTGCCAGAGCAAAGTAATAATCTCGAGGAGTTGCTACATTGCGATCCTTGAATCAGTTGCATGATTAGTACGCTACTTAGGTTAGAGGCATGATTATATTATTTTGACATGATTGGATGTCATGAAGTATTGATGTATTCAGGTTGTGAAATCGAACTTGTAGGAGCTTCATTATCCGTTCACTAATTCGGAACAGATAAAACTGTGTTATACAGATGTCCTGGATAAATTCCGCGGAAAAAATTGTAAGATATCTATACAGAGGCCACAAATCGTGGAATTTCTTCGGAATTGTGCAAATTGTAAAACTGTGGAACTTAAGAAATTTCTTTGGAAAGCTGTTGACTAGCTGACTGAAATTTGTTGACGATGGGGTGATGAAATGAACTGATGACAGACGAGGAACCTTAATGAGCGAGAAGTGTAAATGTCGATTGAATGCCTTCTTGATGTTAGCCACATTCTCCACCTGCGCAATACCACGTACACTGATTTGCTTACGACGTTCGTGATCCGTAAGCATGATGGCCAAGCGTTGATTATTCAGTTAATTACACTCCTTAAACACTCATCTCGTTTTCAGTCAGGTTATTTTTATCACTACACAACACCTCAATCACGTATGACCAAATCGAATGTTCCGACTGATCGATGAAAAAATCCTGACAATGGGCGAACTCGAACACTATCTGGCAGTTTCTCCTCAAATCGCCATTCAACTCTTGTTGGTTACCTAAGCCTAATGGTATAGTTTCATAACGATCAAGCAGTTCAGTGCTGAAATAATGAAGTCGGAAGCATTTAGTTGGTGATTGGTGAATT